CTGCTGTCCATCGCCGGCGGAGAGCGGGGCCCACCTGGCCGCAGACGCGCTAGGAACAGCAGCGAGGCGTCCCGGACACCGATCTTTGAAGCCACTCAAGGGGTCAGTGGAAAAAGGAGCCAAATGCCCATCAGCGGGGTATCTGGAGAAGCAGGCGCTCCGGGGCCTCGTTGCCCTCGCCGAGAGCTTGGCCCTAAGACCACCCCCCAAACTGATCTGGAAAGGAACGGGGGCCCTTGGGGTCTCTGAGGCTTGGTAGCTGAAACAGATCTTATCTTAATTAAGTCACAGAGTGGCTCATGGAACCAGGGCAGGAAATGAGGTCACAGAAGGATGGACCACGAGTTGGGAGGCCCTGGGGCAGGCGGAAGTCAGGCCCGGTTGTCCAGCAGAGGAGGCAACACATGTACCGAAGTGCAGGGGAAGCACCAGAGTTTCATTTAAACTTTAAAGACAAGGGGAAATCAGGTGAAAACACCCACCCACTTCATATTCCTGGCGAAGCTGGGCTCCTGTGTTGTTTGCGTGGTTGGTTTTCGGGTTTTTAAGAGGGAAACTGCTTTGTTTACTTCCTTGTGCCCTGTAATCCCAGCCACATTTGGTTACCTGTCTTCCTCGGTCTCGGGCTCTATGCCCTCTTTATCCGCTTGCGCTGTTCATCAGGTTCCTTAATGTATCTGCTGGTCTGTTTGTCTTTCAGGTTGCAGATGTGTGAGGCTGCACAGCGTGTGACAACTCTTCCCAATGACAGTGATCTCATGGAGCTGGCAAAGGCAGGTCAAGACAAGGGAGGGACAGAGGCTGACAGCCTGCAGACAATAGACAGGGACACAGAGGCATGAAAGTGACCAGGAAGCAGCAAACCAGCCGGAGTACTGTTGGGCCCACCTGCCCTTCCCCTCAGCCCTTCCTTCCACCCTTCCTCCTTCCATCTCCACCCTCCCTTTCTCCCTTTGCTCCCTCCTTTCCTCATATGGCACCTACTGGAGTAATGATTGCTTTTTTTTTCTTTGATTTAACAAATATCTATGAGCACCCTGCATGTTCAGTGTACTGAGGACACAAAGATGCAGGAACATGAGACCAGTGAAGGACAGAGATTGGTATCCAATGAGTACCATTTCCTTAGGTGTTAGGCAGGGCCCCAGCTGGAAGTGATGAGTATATCTATTAAGATTGAGGGAATGACAGAGCAAAACCATTCATTTTCATTTGGGAAAACCCTTTTTCACTTCGTTTAATGGTGGATGCCCCTAAGGGGAAAAGGGGGGGAAAAAAAAGGAACTCTGAAACTAATTATACCAGTCAGGAATCATGACAGCTTGGTGAGTATTGTTTTAATATTTCCACAAAAAAGAAAAAAAAATTCCACAGACAAGATGATGGTGAGAAGGAAAAGGAAAATATCACAGTGAAAGTTAAATATAATTAAAGCTAAAAAGGAGGTTGTTTTGGAGGAAAAAAACTTTGTTTTTGAAAAAACAACTAGATTGAATTTGTAAAAAGTGATTATTCATTATACACTTAAAAGGAAAAATACAAAGAAAGTGAATGTCATTTGGAAGCCCAGAGATAGTCATTGTTTAGATTCTGATGAACATTATTACTTTACACATTCATGCATTCGTAAACTGTTGTGGATTTACACAGTTTTACATAAGTGGGGTTTATGATACATATTCTATGTGCTTTTCTGTCATAATTTCCCCCTCAACATTACCTTAGCTGAGAAATGTTCCTAAGGAGATATCATGTTGTCTAAAAACTGTGGACAACTCTTGACCTTTTTTGATTTTAGAGACTCCATTAGAAACTGGTGTGATCTTCTCTGCCCAGGCTTCTGAAAGCCAGTAACGGAGAGTTTCTTTATAGAAATGTAAAATGTGACAACCAATGCTAAATGTGGCAAAGTGTGAATATATACACTGTCTATAAAGATAGTTTCTTTTTTAAACAAATACTCCTGTAAGGGCTCATCTTTGCTCTTTTTCTTAAATGTAACATACATTTTCCCATTTATTTCACTTATTCTAGAACTGTTTATTGAGCTGCAGCTGAGTGATATGGGATAGAAGGTGAACATGGCAGACAGCTTCTCCCCTGGGCTTAGGGTGGGATACAGACAGCTCATTGTGCAATTCATGACAGGCCACGAGAGCTGGGATGGGGAAAGCACCATGGTTGTAGAAGCATCTGAGGGACACAAAACCTTCATCCTGGGGAAAACGGTGGTCATGGGGAGGTGAAGTCTAAAGTGAGAGCTGAAGAGGGGAAATGTCGGAACTGGCCAAGTGAAAAGGGATGAGGGGGTTGGGAGAGACTGCTAAGGTTTGTAGCCCAGCAAAAATAGTCCTGAAGACTGGGGCTCATGGCATGGAGGAAAGGAAGGGGAGGGAGGGAGAGGAACACTTTGGCTGGAGGGTGGCAAGGACTCTCCAGGATCTGGTGAGCCACACCAAGAAATTTCAACTTCAGCCTGAAGGGTATTGAATGGGACTGGTAGTTCCATTCATTGTAAAAGTACATTTTCTGTTGTGAAATCCTCACCTGTTTGACTACAGGCACAGGGGAAGGTGAGGATGTAATCATTGTCTTGGACCCTAAAAGGCAGTCAGTTCATAAAATGCCCCAAACAATAAATTTTGGACTGAAATTTTTGGATGCACCTCTACACAGATTAAACTAACCAAGAAACTACTAAATCTCTGTTTTACTTTTTACCACGTGGACGTTTTCATTGTTAAGTTCACTTTGATTTTATTTATTCTTCAGATCAATTGATTAGATATAAAATAAATGTAAACTCTTTTTTGTTTTTTGTGGGGTTTTTTTGTGTGTGCCAAGAAGAGTTTGCATGCAGTTAGCTCATTATATAAATTTTTCTAACAACCTCCATTTTGACCTGCTAAGAAGGGTGGGCATCAATCTAGGTGGTTTGGTACTTATATTGGGTTGAATATTGCCCCCCAACATTGACATCCTTCCGGGAACCGCAGAATGTGACCTTATTTGGAAAGAGGATTGTTATGGGTGTAATTAAGATGAGGTCATACTGGAGTAGGGAAGACCATTAATCCAACATTACTGGTGTTCTCACAAGAAGAGAACACACACAGAGACACACATATACACAGGGAACACCATGTGAGGACACAGAAACAGGAAAGATGGCCAAGTGACGATGGAGGCAGATCAGAGGGATGCACCTAAGAGCTAAGGAATGCCAAGGATTGTAGGCAACCACCCGAAGCTGAGAGAGGCCTGGGACAGATCCTCCGTCAGAGCCCACCCCGAAGAACCAGCCCTGCCCACACTTTGGCTTTGAACTTCTAGCCGCCAGAAACGTGAGGGAACATTTCTGTTTTAAGCTGCCTAATTGATGGTAGCTTTTTGCCACAGTTGTAAGATAATACAGTGGTCTTGTATATTGATAAAGGAAGGCACCTAAGAAAGTAGTGTGTGTGTGTGTGTGTGTGTGTGTGTGAGAGAGAGAGAGAGAGAGAGAGACAGACAGACAGACAGACAGACAGCAGATAGGGCTGTCTGCTGACTTCTCCCATCCCTGCCCTCCCCCACAAATCCCCAGATGCCTTTCTTTTAATACTATGGTCTAGTACACAGCAGATGTAAATATTTAATCTTTCTATTTGTACTTTTTCCCGTGTTTATTTTTCAGTTGCCTGCTTGCCCTTTCTGTGTTTATCTTGTTAAGTAGTGCCAGGCTTAAAGTATAGACCCCTAGAGGGCAAGATTCATATCTATATAAAGTGTGCTGCAGATCAGCAACTTTTGCTTCATATTTTTGAAGGTGATCATTCTGTTTATTTCATTCTCAGTTTCTGCCTTTAATTTTTCTATCATACAGGTATATAGTATACATTACTGAAATAACTTACATAAAGCAATATGATTTTTAAAGCTAAAAATGCACTATAGACTAAATGTGAACTAATTTTAAGTGACTGAAATTCTCTTAAAAACATTTTTAACCTACTGAAAAAATAAAGGACCAAAATGATAGCCTGTGACTGCAACTTTTAATCTTGCAAATTTAATGGTAAAAATATGGACACAAAATGTATAAGATCTAGAATTTAAGTTTTCAGTGGTCTTTACACAGCTGTAAAACTTTGGTTCTTTAAAAACCCTGAGGAATTTAAGACTTCATGGGAAAACAAAAAGAGAAGGACAACATTTAGCTGTGAACCTATGGGAAAGCCTTATAAATATTTTTACATTCACTAAAACAAAGTGATAAAGACTGCTAAAGAAAGACTGCATCAGTGACATTTGATAGGCCTTTGTTTAGTAAGAATGGGTGCTGTACCATGGACTTCTATTCAGTCACTTGTATGCTAGACTCTGAGAATCCCTTTTGCTTACAGTTTCATGAGATGTTGCTTTTTCTTTTTTTGCAGATAATATCCCTCATTCCCTTACCCACATTTTAAACTTCTAATATATATTTATGGCTATACTAAATATGCTCTGAAAGATTGATATATTATAGAAAAATGTAATATAGAAAGTGAAAGTCCCTTGTAATCCAACCCTTCAGAGATGATTGCTGTTAATACTTGGGTGCATATCTACTACATTTTAAAAATACTTGTTTGAAGTGTGTACTTATTAGAAAGTAGTTGTTCTAATTTTTTAAATTTTGGTCCTACCTACTAAATGCTCACGTCTTTCTGATTTTATAATTTCGAGGAATCTCAGCTACCTGACTACTGGATTTTTGCCATCGTGGTCTCAGAGCTGTGTAATTTGGGTGATGGAGATGGAAAAGCCTTTGGAAGACCTTTATTTATGGTGAATAAGTATTCCTTGAATACTTGCTCTGCATCCTGGGTTATATTTTGTTTGCTCTGCCCACAATAACTACATGCTGAGGAGCCTCCTGGTCAGTCTTTTAAAACAGCTGCCAACTACTTGTCTGCTCACAGCAGCCAATGGACCTTCATCATCTTTTATCATTCCAGAAGCACCACTTCACAAAGCTTGATTTCTGCCCTTCCACTTATTCTACCCACTTTTCTGTTCTCAGTCCCTAGTTGTTTCCTTTTAAAACTTGTCTTCATCAGGAGTGACTTGAATTTTGCACATGCTGATCCTTAAATTCTGTGTTTAAGGTGCTGACATACTGAAGTAAATTGTATGGATGTGGAATCTTGTGCATATGAAACACACAGTTGGAAATGACTACTCTAATTTCAGTATCCAACAGATAAATATTTGGGTCAATAATCCAATTTTTTTCAATACTCCAATTTTTGAAAGTCTACCTTATTTAGTGTAATGTGCAAGAAAAAATGAAAAAGAAAGGATGAGTAATAAAGTTTAAATGTACCACTTCATAAATTTATTAGCCATGTATAGGTTGTATTTCTGTGTACAATAGTTAGACACTTTTATAATTTGCCTTAACCAAGCCAGATTCTCCCCAATCTCAAAGTTTAAGTTTAGTAAACTTGAAAAAGCCAGCAGGAATTAAGCCCTGAAGGAATTCAAATGACTGTCTTATTGTAGTCCTGATTTCAGCCATTTCAGAGCACTATGCTTTTAGTCAGAATGGGCTCTAGAAATCAAACTGTATATTCGCCCAAATAAGAAACAGGATTCGAAATTCTTATTCTGGCTACTGGGAGGAAGGGCAGGCAAACATCATAGCAGGAGAAAGCAGAATGTTATTTTTGCCTTATACTGAAACCAGGCTGTGAAGACTGAAAGAATCAGAAAGTCCTAGGATGTTCGGCCTAGAGTGTATGTCTATAAAATGAGTTTAACTCAATCCTTTTGCAACTGGCTGAGAGGTCTTAGTATTTTCTCCCAATTCAAAGCTGTAATTTTTTCACTCCCATAGTGAATGGAAAGGAAAGCAGAGAGCACATTGTCCAAGTGTCCATCAGTGTTAGAATAAGAAATCCACAATTCCACGTTTGGAACTCTCCTTCCTGATAAAGTGCATATTTCAGATTTCTGATTCTAGCCCATTTTTTTTTAAAACCGGTTTTATGTATTGTAGGAGGTGGCTTACAAGTACTTCGATTTTTGTCTCCACGGCAATACACAACGTTAAAACCAAGTTGTTGGGTTTTTATTGGTTTATTATGTCTTTCAGCATTTTTTTCTTCAAAATGTCATCGTTCTTTTTGTCTTGACAGTTAAAAAAACCCTTTCTGGATCATTTAAAAAATTACGTTGTAATAACAAAACTATCACTGGAATTGGATGAGAACGAAGTTGCACTCCATTTCTTTTTCTCCGCAGACGCGCATTAAAACGAAAGAAGGCTGAACGTGCGCCCGGCCAAGTCCCTCCGGGCCGG